GGTCAAACGTCATGGCACCCTTGGGGAATACGACAATCACGGTCGAGCCTCCGTATTGGAAGTATCCTAAATCTTCACCTGAACTACTGGTCAGCTTTCGCCACTCGTCTGCAAGATTCGAATTACCCACCTTTCTTGAGCGGCTCTCCAACCTCCTTCGTCCAAGTGATGCTCCCGACCAGCAGTGCACCAACCGAAACGAACGCAACAGGAACCGTTGCACCACTCTCGTCCAACGTAGCATCGATCAATGCGACGTCACGTTTGTTGGCTGTGAAGACGTCAAATCCCGGCTCGTTCACAGCCTGCGGGTTGACCGTGTAGTATTCCCCTGGGAGCTTGGTAACCTTCCTGAACAGGCCAGTAACTGGCGCGTGATAACGATGATAGTCCTGCGGCGCCAAGCGGAAGATCGCCAGGGACGGATCCGAGCCGATCTCTTCCACAATCTCTTCGTCATTGAGGAGCTCTGGAATAGTGAAGTGACGACCTTTGATCCTGCATCTCTGTTCAATGCCAACGAGACAATAAGGAAGCGACGAGGACGTACCAGACATTGGTAGCCTCTTGGGCCGTCTCGAATACGGTCAGACGGCAGTCGGCACACGATACGATCACGCCCAACTCGTCAGGAGCGGTGATAGGGCGAACATCGGGCCGCAGCTTGCGGCTGAAGAACGTGTTCAGGCTGGGGTAATTGTGCAACTCGGGCTCGAGTAAGATAGATGTGTCAATTTGGTATGTCTTGCAGAATGCGAGGATATGGGGGTAGATCACTTTCGGATCGGGATTATCGTAAATCTGACCCTCTGACCTAAGAGTTAGATGTATGCAGGGATATATCAATACATCGATGCTCACGCTTCATGGATTGCTCCCTTAACAATGTCTCTACCCGTCCCCAGTGCAGAAGTGCGGTTTCCGCCTTCCCGTAGAACAGCAGGTGCATGCCAATGCGGGTATAAATGGGCATGGTCTCGAAGATGCGGTCGCCAGTCTTGCGAATGATGATCCAGTTTCCCATATGTTCATGGACGAACAACTATTGTGGGATAAACATAGTTCTTGAATCTCAAACAAAATTTATACCTTATCAATGGTCTCATCTGGATAGAACTTGGAGAACCACGCCGACTTCGCGTGAGCAACAGTTGCCGGCGCAAGGGCGGTGCCGCCAGCCGAGCCGTTGTGGATTTCCTCCTTAGTCAATGGCTGACTGCTCTTGTCAACGAGGGCTTCAAGCGCGTTGGACAGGTGTTCATGGGTCTCCGGATGGGGCGCTGCTGGGTGAGCGGCCGACGAGTCTGCGGTAGGATACGCGGAATCCTCGTTCGGTTCAGCTCCTTCCGCGACTTCTGTCTTGTCTTTATTCTTGCGGAAGATGCGCTTGACTTTGCTTGTGATCCCAGACATGGTCAACTGAAGGTCAGACTTTAGCCAGGTGGCGGTATACAAGAGACGTCCTATTGATGATCTGGCCGCTCCGCTCAGGTTATTGTCATGGTCGTCAGGGCCAACAACTGAATTTAAAAGCGGTGTGGGGAGTCGTGTGTGCCGTCGGGGTAAGATCCTGAGAGTGGCGGTGAAAAGGCTTCTGCCCGCGTCTGCTTACAGTACTTAGTTGGTATGCCGGCGGAAGCCGAAGTCAACCACATCCAACTAAACGGTTCTTGATGTTCTCAACGTCAGACTACATCAGACGACCACTGGACCAACCTTGTTCATGGAGTTCCTCAGTGAATCCGCACTGTTATTCCTGAAGATATATACACCATAATGCTCTGTTGTGCTATGGATTCGACGATACACGTCGACATCCTGTATCTAGACCAGCAGTGCATGGAGACACCTTCCCTCTCTGACCCTCCTTGGACAGATGAACTGGTTCTATCGGTATCGCTTTGATCACCGGAGCACTACGGATCTTCGTGGAATGTCTAATGATGCTTCACGCAGGACGGCGCTTCGATGCAGCAAGCCCCCTTGTTTCGGGCCATTGCACGACGAGGCTTGTTGGCCGCACTGATCAGTTTCCGTTACCTGCCATGTCGTGTTCTCACCATCCTGAAAATGTCAGGATGACAAGCCGACAAACACTGTGCTACCTCTCGGTTTCTCCTCGGCTGAAGATTGTCTTAGCACTCCATTTCCGTCGCCACGTACCTGTTGTTTTCTATGCGAATCTGGCTGAGGCTGAGGCTGAGTGTCATGCAAACAGCACTGCTCCCAGTATCCGAGGGGCGGGTAAAGTTTTTATGCTTATATGTGAGCGCAGTGACATCGACAGTTGTTGCATCTACGCTTCGTCCTCCTACCCTCTCATGCCTGTCATTCGTCTGGAATAACTGCCATCGTCATGTCCGCTTCTTCTGGGTTCACGGATGAAGAGATTCAGCAGACTGTCGCTCTTGTTCAGATTTACGAGTGGAGCCGTCGCGCAGCTATCGCTGCACTAAGCTGGGCTGTCTATGACTATCGTTCGTACTTTTGGTTGACTGTTGGATGTTCCTCACCTTCTATTCGTAGTTATCACGTTCAGTACTGAAATCAGACATGTTTGGGTATGACTGGTAATGGAAGAAATAATTACCGTGTGCTGATACTGGCGAAGCTGCGACCATGGGGTTGGTCCAAGCTGTTATTCGGTTGGGTGCGTCGTCTGCTAGATATCGATCCATACTTACTATGGAATAGACACGCTATTTCGGAATGTCGATCGTAATCGTTTGGACCACCTCGAATATTCTGACTCCCTCCGAAGTCTCTCCAGCAATTGTACGTGCAGGGCAAAGATCGTGCTGACTCCACTGATCTCTATAGTCTTGCATCATATATTACTACTTCGCAGCATGGGGCGGCGTTCTTACCCAAATGACGTTATCTGGTCAGGGATCAATCACCATGATGATTCTCCCGCTGACTGATTGCTATATATATGTAGTCATAATGATTCTCCGGCTCTGGGGATTGTATAATGGAAACAATAAACTGGCAGTTTTCTGGGCCAGTCTACTTACGGTAAATTGCAAATTACGGCAACTCTGACCTTTTGCGAAGATCCACATAACAGCATTATGTAGGCTATAGGCGACGCCCTTGTCGCATATGCTAATATCCTTGGACTTAGGTATCATATTCGGGCTTGGGACCCGATTGCCGCATTACGGTAAGAAGCCACCAACACTTCTTGTGGACGATGCTCAGCAGTAGTCACAGAACCTCCAGCACCATATTTCACCCTCGACCGCAACGTATGTTTCGAACCATCAGCGCCTCCCTCCTTTATCGGGATTTGGGCTTCACGGCTTGCTCTTGACACGATATTTTTCGGCTTTGTCTTGTGGAAGGCTGTCAGTAACTGGGCCACGAATATCTTCTACATGCTGATATTCCGCCAGTACGAGGAATATCGTCAAGGATGGCATAGTAGCATTGCAGAAATGCTGATCACAGATAACGTAACTGCATTCGCTCTGTGCGCAGCCTTATCCCTCTCGAAGTACATGGACCTGACCGATTGACAGGGTATGCCTCATTCAAGTAATGAACCTCGTTATACTGTTTTCGAAGAATGTGAGATCCCTTCTAAGGCGAACATTGACTGGAAGCTAACTGCCTAGCCAGCCCCAGGGTGCTCAAGCGGGCGTTGGGTAAGCATGGTGACAATAGACTTCATGCGGAATGACTGATTTTTGTTCTGCCAGTTTTGCGTTGGCCAGTGACGTGATAGTTGGAAGCAGACTCCTCTTGCATGCCAAGGAAGTCATCAACAATCGCAGAGAACCATACGAAACAGAGCTCGAATTTGGGCCGGAGGACGCTGGATCTCATTCTGCTACCAAAACTAGCGGTGGACGCAGTTTCGCTACTGCGGTACGGGAGAGCTACGAGGCTTCTTCATCTTCATCGCCATCACGCGCACCAAGGCCGTTCATTGACGTGGAACCAATCAACCTTACAATCATAGAAGAGATATGATGGTTAGAACACTGTCCGTTTTGCGGAGTAATGTCGAAGGTGGTGGTCACGCGTGGCACTAGTTGACAATATGCTTTTGTGTAGAGTCTCACCGGCCTGGATATCATCGAGATAAATACCATCAAGCAGAGTGGTCTTAATAGATATCATGTAATCCGTGCGTCGTTGAGCAAATACCCAGAGGCGCGTTTTGTGCCATGGCCACTGTAGGACGGTGACTCTTTTATTGACGCGACCCTTATCCGCGTGTACTTTGCTTCCACCAGACGCGTCTTTTGAAGTTCCCAGATCAGTCTCGCCACCGACGTTGTTGAGCGCTCTAGGGCAGCATATACCACGACTATCCATGCCCGGCCGGTTTGCACAACTGCTGTCGATCCTGATCGATCCATTGCGATGGCCAGAAAACCTATTGCAAAAAACTTTGAATGATTGCAAGGGATACTTTCTGGAATTCTTCGCACCGCCGAGGTCTGAGAGTGAGCGGAAGGTGGTCGAGTCTGGTGCGCCTAATCAACGACTATACTTCTAAGAAGACTATCTGACACCAGAACAGGGAGAGCGGTATTTGATGGAGAAGAGCAGAACGTATCCGAAGATGTGAAACAGGCTATCTTATCATTGGCGAAAGAACTGGATGTCTCCGAATATCTATGCGCCGCTCTTCTTGGAGAAGTATTGGACGACCCCACCCGCCCAGCGGAAAATCTCGCCGTAGAAAATGCGCTCATGCGATATCACTCTGAGCGTGCGGATTGTCTCCGATGCCTGAAAGCTATCTTCGTTGGCGCCTTGAATACGGACTACGATGGCAGCGTTGGGGGCATTCTCCGCGACTTCACCTTTAGTCTGCTAAGGGAGCGGGCCACTTTCCTTGCAGACCTCCTCAAGAGTATCGATAGAGGCAAAATATTGCTAGCTGTGCAGCAGGCGGCGCTGCGAGATGTTGCTGCACCAGCCCCTTCTGCATTCGGGACCTTCCAGCAATCAAGTACGTCGACAACCGCGCAGCAGAAGCTTGGAACTGCTACCCTGGAGCAACGAATCAAGTTCATCGCCAAAGATCGTCGAGAACTGGGCCATATCCTCTTTTACATAGCCAGCGCGCTCCTGCTTGCCCCCGCAGATGTCTTTACCATTGTCAAATGGCTCAAGACTTGCAGTCCACAGGATGAACTCGTTGTCTATGCCTTCTCTGCATTCTCAGCTGCCCTCAATGTCAACACTACGGTGCCGTCGGAAGCCATGCTCTCTGTCATATATGGTGATCCTGCAAGCATGACTGCCATTTCCAGCGAGCTGAAACAGACTTGGACGATCCCCCAGTTGGCTAGTGCTGTTTCGCTACAATGGGCGATCTCATTGGTTCACGCTCCCACCCACGCGTCTCCTCTTCGTAGCGTCGGCGTGTCAAAGCCGGATCCAGAGCGTTTGATCCTCGATGCAATCCACGGCAACGCGATCCAGTACCTGACGAACATAATCATCACGTGTCGACCGTCTTCATTTCACGATGAAGACAGCATTCCCCTCCCCGATCAGCCGGCCGATTCCCCCGGAATTATCCCCCCCATCGAGCCAGACTTCCACTTCTATGCTTTACGACAGTTGGAGCTGTTCACCGTAAACCTCCTCAATTCTGTCTCGACTGCATTTCTTCGAAAGCTTCGACACGCTGAGGAAGATGCAGACAAACCAAACCCACGACTGCAAGCAACCCGCTCAACCAGGCTGGCTGCAGAACCGGCAGAACAGCGACGCGATGTCGCCGCACTTCTTGGTCTCATTGCCGTTATATATGGCGATAGCCAAGCAAACGCTGGTTTGATATTCTGGCAAGATCCAGATAGCAAGCTCGCAAGTTTTCTACGTTGGGCAGCCGAAACTGCTGCTCCGGCACTGGTCCGGGCCAACTTTGACATGTTGGCGTCACTCTCCAAAGGTCAGAGTTGCAGCATGTATGGAAACGAATTCTTGGCTGTTCGATCACGAGGTGCTGGGGCTACACCACAATCTGCGACGATTGTCTGCTCCTGGACGAGCATATTCAGCACGATCACATATTATCAAGATGAACTCAGACAAAGTCGACTGAATGCTGGTGCCGACCGACATGTCCTCGAAGCATTGAGCCGAGCCGACTCGATCGAATTTCCGTATCTCATGGCAGTCATGCGTCTTGTGCGGATCATTGTTCGAGATTGCCCACTCGCCAGGGCCACTTTGAACAGCCCTCAACTTGGCGCAGCGAATCTTATATGCTCGTTATCATTCTCGTTGCCATCATTAGACTTGCAGGGCGCACTGTGGGCTGCTTTGTCATCATTCTGTGCGGGGAGTGACGTGGGCGCCATTGAGACGGCCAGAATGATGTGGGTTCGCTTGGAGAATGCAGGCATTATCCCGGTAAGTCTCTCTGATATTCACACGCTGATCCTCTCACTGACATTCCACCAGTACTTCAATGTGAATAGCACGGCTACCCAAGGGTCCGAGAATCTCTGGCAGTCTATGGCAAGTGGGCCACAGATACGTGAGGGTCTCGTGATGGCTTTGGAAGACACTGAAGCTACCAACGGCTCTTACCCTGCTACGATAGCTTTCACAAATCTGCTCAGTTCCATGGTCCATGTTCCCGACCATTCCCTCAGTTTGCGGCCACGTGTCGTATACCAAACAGTACCCGAATCGGTAGCACCTGAGCGGTTGGGTCGACACAAAGGCATTGACGCTTTCATCCGATTCGAGCTGGACGATGTTTTCTACAAGATTGGTCAACGGCGATACTGTACTAACGACGAGAGATGGAAGGTCATAGATGCATGCCTCACATTTGTCGAAAAATGCCTCAAGAGCTATGACATTCTCGGACTGCTTACCCCGGGCGTTGCGCAAGCTCAAGACGCCACTCGAAGCAAACTTGTCCTCACAGCCCTCCTTATTCATCCAGGTTTCGAAATTCTCCGTCGATTGTCTATGGACACCATTCTCGCCACCAACCTCTTCGAGATTATCAGCGAAGGGTCAGCTTATATTGATGTCGCTGATACTCCGACACCTCTGGCGGAACGCTCTGTGAAAAGCGCCCTGCGAATACTACATCGCGCCCTCGATATTCAACCAATGTACTTGGAGGTCCTATGGCCTATTCTGTCTGGCACCGACGACCCACAGCTTCGAAACATCCTGCGCGCATCAGGCCTCAACATGGCATACAGCCACTCCTCACTGGACCACCAACTCTTGCGAGTACCTTCCACGGTTGAACGGATAGCTATGGCCGTAGGCAGAGTGCAGGACGAAGAGACTGTTCTTCTCGCAGTCAAGGTTCTCAGCTTGTTGAGCGATTCCCCAGTATTCAACGCAGCAGATAACTCACGTGCGGGTGCACACGGAACGAGATTAGCGACAATCCTGAACAGTAGCAGCTTCTCCCTGCAAATTCTAGATGTTTTTTCTCTTGCCCTTGCGACTGAGTCACCGGAAGGTGAAGACGACGAGCAAGATCTTAACGTGGTTTTACGACATCTTACGAACACGGACTCACAACAACAAACCCTACTGCAACCTGTCATACGATCAGCCATTCTCGAATTGTTGCGTGCGAATACCTCAAAGGATCGGCCGGCACCAAACGTGGCTCATTTTCTGCTTGGTTTCAATGTAGACGCCGCAGGCAGCCCTGACTCTTTACTGGCAAAATCTAGAAAAAGTGTTCGCACTTGCTTGGACGTGTTGCTGGATTTGCTGTTCGAAGGATTCCCGGCCGCTGGTACCGTTCACTCTGTGGGGCAGCAGTTCTTGGTCCGACAACCTCGTCTAGCCGAGCAATGTTATCGATTACTCTACAACCTTTGCCTGCACGATTGGACATCCGATGTCGTGCTGCGATATCTCCGTACCGAATATGATTTCGCCGCTCGACAGCTATTCCACATTCCGCAGAGGCCGATACCCACCCCCCGGTCCAGCGGAACAGTGCGATTCAATGATCGTACCGAGGTGGCCTCAACCTGCGGGAATGCGACAGCATTCTTGAGAGCAAGATCATGGCTTCTGGACATCCTCTCGCTCGAGTTGCATCTCCTAGTAGAGTGTGGTCAAAAGCAACGGGCAGCCCGTCTTATCAGCGTCATGTTTGGTGGCGATTTGATCTCCATAGATCCCGATTTCGACTTCAGCAGTTTCGACGTCGATTCGGTTAGGCTCCGTCAACATTCCGAGCTTGTACTAGAACTGCTGCGATCTTTAGATATCCAGTGGCTGGATAATCTTAAGGATACGGAGGGCCCTTTGAAATACTATACTGCCCTGGAAGTGGATGGTTGCCTTCGAATCGACGACTCCGATTGTGAGATCTACGATGCGGATGCGATAGTGTTACTCGTAAACACTATACGAAAGCGATTGGAGCTGCAGGGTGCAATGAGCACCTATGATCAACGCGCAGCATTCGATCAAGACTCGATCAAGCTGATCAAGCGCGTGGCGATCGACAACAACCATCGCGGGATGCAACACAGCAAGGAAAGGGGTCTAAGGTCTTGGCGTCGTATGGTGGAGGTTTCTCTTGGTCCCAGTTTCGAGCTGCTACGACAGGATCAGCGAGAAGCTGCCATTCTCGATCTTCTTCTGACAATACCCGAGCGAGTACCAGGAGTTGATGGTGCTCTGCGGACCCCCATTCTCTCAGAACTTCTGTTGACTCTAGTCACCAAGCTGCGAGACGGGCGACAAACTGTCTCCGACTTCAGCGCTTCCTTAGATCTGTTCACGGTTGGCGAATCTGGTTTCCCGAATGATCAAGTCACTCAGATTCTCCGCAATCTCATTGAGGCGTTATTGGTGACCGGCTCAACCGATGCCATGCGAGGCAACTTATACTCCGCAATAACGAATTGTATTCACCTGACAACCAGTGGGGAACAATCACAAGTCCTTCAAGTGTCTCTCGATGGGAGACAGGACAGGCTTATCGCACTCGTGGCGCGAGACGCGTTAGGGTCCGTATACGTTTGGCAAGCAGTGGCATATTCACTGCTCGAAGTCCTCGTGTCTGCCTCTTCATCTGATCGATCAGGTGGTTCTGTCGGAACACTTCTGAGCTACATGCAACAATTCGTATTGTCAATCAAGACCACGGAAGGAGACCTTTTTGCAGCCCTTGCGCCTGACGCAGGTCAGAGTGTTCCTAAGTCATATACACGGATGAACTAACTTCGTCTAGACACCTTGGACTCTCTGTACGTTTACGAGGCCAAGATGGGTCTTATTCTAGCTCTGGTTAAGCGGGGAAACTGCGACGAATCCCTGGCTCACCAAATATTTAACACACTGGCTGAGTGTGACTTCATCAAGGCGATGCCACATGAGGAAGATGATGCTATGGGTACGGCCTCCGTACAGATCATCTGCTACCTGTAACATTTCTTCTAGAGCTAGACTCGTTCCTTCCATCGCTCACGGAGCGATATCATCAACTTCTGCTGCCAGCGCTCCAACTGGCAATAAGTGTCTTAGCCAGTTCACCGCGACCATCGAATGCACTGGCCCAGTCTGTAAGTCAATGTTCCTCGTTGCTCGGCTTCAGATCAACTCACAGATTGCAGATTTTATCTTTCCTGAATGGCCAGCGAGAAGTTCTGATGGTCTTACTGACCTCAGTCGGGTCTCTGACATTAGTCATGCTAAGAGAAGTGAACATGGTCCTGTCATTGGCTATCAGCATTTTACCTACCTTAAAGGTGGAAGACCTGAAACAGGACGCACGGTTTGGTTCTTATCACCTAGCGATCATGCGAGCAATAGACGATTCCATGTCGGACAAAGCACAAGTAGATATCACACCAGCAACGGAACAGGAACGCATTGATGACCAGCGTCGTTTTCCTCGTTAGTCATCGGGCTTGCTCCCTTCTACCCCAGTACTGACTCTCCTCAGTTTATCGAAAACAAGTCAGTGTCTTCCGCCAAAACGTGCAAATAGCATTATGTCAGCTTCACGAATATTCGTTGCTGTATCAGACAGCCGTTATGGAAATGCAGGGTATGTAAGAAACACACGTCGTTTTTTGGGTAACAGATGGTTTCCCTCAGGCTTTACTCCAGTCGTTGCGCCGTCAAAATCCAACCCCGCCTTGTACAATCTGAAACAACGAGGTGAAGCGCAACCTGGAGATAGTTTGCTATAGTTCTAACGGTGCTCAGGTCCACTGCCTCTCCTAGCGACAGTCTTGAAGATCCTGAAGGCTAGCGTAACCTCCATGGGGAACTCGGTCTCGTTCGTGGAAGAGCTTAACAACGCCTTAATGGCAGCAGAAGGGTTGACTGACAATGAGATAGACGAGGTGTGTGCACCTCCTGAATTTCAAAGACGCGACTGAGCGTTTCTCTTAGCTCCTCCGAATCGCGGGTCTGGAGCCGGAGAACGTGACCGAGGATGATGAAGCGATACGGGTTGCGACCGAAACGCTCAAAAAATCCGTAATGTGGGCGCAGAATGACTGTCTATCACGTCTAAGTACGTCTGACAACCATAACTTCTCCCTCTTTTGCTTACTCATGCGCGTGCAGGAACGGTAGAGATGCTGGTCTATCTTGTCTGGCGGCACATGGATATGTACATCCACCAAGCGCCTGCAGACCAGAACCTCAAGATGCGCATAATAGAGAGTGTTCCCTCTTGGGATCCAAATGAAGTCCGCTCCCTCGCACGAAGGGAGCTGGCGCCCGTACTGATGCACATGGAAGATCTCTCAATGGCAAGTCTCTCTTCCTAAAACTGAGTTCTGGGACTGACGGCAAAATAGTCGGGTGGTGCGGTTGGCGAACTGATCAAAGGCAGCACCGGCTATCTTCAGATACTGGGCCGCAAGATCCAGGAAACGATCGGAGACCAATTTGGGCTCACAGCGTCTGTAAACGGGTTCGCTCCGTATGCTTCAAGATAGCTTAACTGGCAGGTTGAAAATGTACCATACGAGATGCGCCACATGAATGTACCTATTATTGCATTGGCTTGTGATGAATGTTGAAGGGCACTGTCCCAACTGTTCAACCAAAATATCCAACCAACTATTCAACCAAGAATCCAACCGATTGTTAACAAATTGATAAATTACATCTGTATCCGACGGGAAGACTTTAAAAAGGCAACACACTACCGGCTCCCCTCATCAACATCTGGCCACCGAATCTGTGGATAAGTCAGCATATGCCCATGCAATCTCAAAGGCGAACACGCACCTCAGAGTCGTGATTCCACCGGGGAAGTATGCCATAACATACGAGAGCAGGGCGATAATCTGGACTATGGCGGAAACGAGGGAACCGACATACGATCGGTACTATCCACATCCTCAGTTTCGGTTTAAAAAATCGTGAGAATAGAGAGAGGCATACCCCGACGGAGAAGAAAATCGTCAGGCCGAGGCTGCTGAAGTAGGCCAAGGTGAAGGGTATGCGCTCTTTAGAGAAGAGGTGCTTTATCTGGTTGATCGGTCCCATGAGGATCATGAAGCTTCCAGGTATCAGGACTGTGTGCATGGTATATGACATAAAATGTGACGTACCCAGACATAACCAACGCACTGCCCAAGCTGAACGAGAGTGCGAACTTCTGCGGGCGAATGGCGAGCATCGGGAGGGTGAAGAATGCGACGAAGAAGCATATGACAGCGCCCAACAAGCAGCCTGCGAACCCAACCAGTCGTTCCCAGCGAGAGAGTGCAAAGTAAGCTTCTTCCTCATTGGATGTCTGGCCAGAGCGGAGGGGGATATAAGACGGCAAGCCGAGAGTAGTGGAGATCTTGGTGAGAGGATTGGACCACCCGGAGCTCGTGCCCCCTGCGCCTGAGCCGGTTGCAGCACCCGAGTCATCGTTTGGGCCGCGAGACCAACGGAATTGGGAGAGAGATGCCCGGAAGGTCTGCTCTGTCGACATGGTCGTTGGATTGTATGTTCTACGACGCTCAGCTGCGTGGGTGACGACGAGCTCTGCTTGTGACGGCAACTGCGCCAGGGTGAGCACAGCCACTAAGGCCGCCGGCGAGGGGCAATTTCCTAGGATGTCGTCTGCTCACATGTGGCCATCAGCCAACCAGATCTGATCAGACAGGCCCCCTAACCGGCCTTGTCGTAACGTTCATAATTTACCCTCGACATCATTTGGCTCCATTATTACCACACGATGCACTGCTTGGGGAGCAGGATCACCGTTGTCATTTCCAAATGCCCGGCTGCCTCAACGTCTCGTCACTCGGATCCTCACCAAGCTCAGCCCGTAGCAGAACTAGTGCCTCCTCCCACTTTTCCGCTAGCTCTTTGTCATCGTCACAGAGCCCGGTATTGTCAAGGCATAGTTTGTCCAGGATGCCTTGCGCTCGGTCCATGGCTGCCTGTATCAACCCGATATGACGCTGAAGTTCATCCAAAGGTATGTGGTAAGCCTCGTCAGTAGGCTGGCAGGTTGAGATATGGTCCATGCAGAGCAACCAACACCGGCGGAGGTGGGTTAAGTTGTGGCCCTTGGGGCCGTTAACGAGCCTCAGTGGGTTTGGGCGGAGCAGGAAGAGCAGGGCGGGATCGGTCAGGATCTCACGAAGAGGAGAGTCGGCGGGGAGCAGCGAAAAGTATGCTCTGAAGCCCGAGGCGTGATCTGCACCGGCCAAAGAAGTCGATTCCTGTCCATCTGAGATATCTGACAGAGAGCGGGGCCCGTCATCGGGATGTGACGAGCTCGAGAGCACATCGCTGACGTCATGCCCCTTGACCCCTGCACATCCGCTCTCCTTGACCTCATCTCCCCTGTTGTCGTTTTCTGGGTAGAGATCAAAGACCGAAGGGGGGCAAGCGGCGATATAGTATTGAGGGACGGAAGTTGCACCTGACCAGTCAAGAACGGCAGTGACGGTCTGCGTGTCCGGGTCGACAAGAATGTTGCGTCCGTGCAAGTCGTCATGCCACATTCCGGCATTCGCCGCGCAAGGTGGGGTCAGATGAGGAATTGCGTTCTTGAAGGACGCGAGAACGGTGAGAGCGTCTTCTTCATTATGGTATGCGTCTCCGGGTTTGTTTAACTTGGTCGATTGCCGATAGACGGGTACCATTGCCTCCTCTGAGGCGAGCACGGAGGCGACGAACGAGGGGGCGTTGTCCCCTAACATAGCTTCATCAGTATATGATCGGAAGGGCAGAAGAGACCCAGACGGCCAGAACACAAAATAGTATGAGAGACTTGAAACAAGACAACGCACATGGACCTGACCCAACTTGTCGGGCCATTGTCCCGTCCAACCGTCCGAATACTGAATTTGCACACGGTCCGATGCCGAAACGTCGGCTGTAATCGTCCTCCGGCTTAACCGCTCAGTATAGGGGCGAGTCGGCAAGGTGGGGAGGGAGATCCTCCCTGCGATATATGCTACCGATCCTTGCCAGTGGGATGCGGGCCAATCGGTCTTGGATTTGGGCGATCTGTCTCCAAAGGCAGTTTGAGACCTTCCCCTCATGCAGAGCATCCTCGAAAGGAACACCTGGTATGTGCTCCATAAATATGTAGGGAGAGCCGATTCCATCTCCTTCGAGGTCCGCGCTCCAAGTGTATACTCGGGGTATCGGAAATCCGTGGGCTTCTCGCAGGAATGTCATGGTCGCTTGTTCACTGCGGACGACATCAGACGCATTCTTAACCGATGCGTTCGGAAATCGCAGGATGGCATTGAATTTCCCCAACGCAACCTGGAAGACAGTGTGAAACCCGGCTGGATGCAAGCGCATCAGTCCATGTCCCCTGAGCAAGCTGAGGCTGCACAGCGAGCCGATTACCTTCTGCACTCTTTTCAAACCCATGGCACGTCCCCATGGCGGCCTCGACCATGCCTTTGGCTGCTGCAAAATTGACAGACATTTTCCGTGCTCTACAGTCTGATAGCAGCAGGCATGTCAACCTACTCGCACACCTGTTGTCGATTGTGCTTACTCGCGTCATTGTCTTGTAGCCATCTTTTCGAACAGATGACTGATTGTCCCGTCATTTGTATGGTGTCAGGGGGGCAATGCAACGGGTTCAGTGTCGTGAACATTCGTGCAGTAACATTCCAGCAAGGGGCCTTGCGGCGGAGAGACGAAGAGGTAAACGAACAAAATAACATCTTCGAATGAGCTGGAGGCAGCCCAATTCAGACGGAAAGGGAGAAGGGGGCACTGGTGGAATTAGCTCCCGTCGGTGACTAGAGACCAGAAAGGAAAGTGCCTCAACGTGCGCCGGGAAAGCGTTGACGGACTATAGATGACACTCGTTGTCTCCTGGCAAGTTGGCTTACTACTTGCAACTACTTGCAACCAGAGTCTCTCAACAATTACCTACCAACATGTCCAACGAGAACGACGGTGCCCCGCCTACCCAGGCTACCCCGCAGGCTGAGCCTCGAGAGTCTGAACAGCTGCAATATTCACCTGAATACCCGCACTACCCGCCTTGCTCGCCACGCGATCGTGCGAGCTTTGCCTACGAGACCGTCAGCAAACGCTGGCCAGTAATACTCACCCAAGTCATTGATGCAATATATCGCGCCTGCGACTCAGGGACATATGCCACGCCAGAAGCGGAGGAAGAGGGGAAGGAGCTGATCAGGAAAGTGGGGAAGCTCAAATATAACATCAGCAGGAATGCCATCATGGAGTGTGTGCCTTTTGTTTTGTGTGATGTGCCCCGTTGAGTTACTCAACAAAGTGCACTTGTATGTGAATAGACCGATAGAAGACGACGGCGGGGCCAACATCGAGCTGTACAACAGCATGCTCTCCTTCCTAGAGCTGCAGCAACAAAACATGTGGTTCACCGCTCCCTGGTTATACGCCGAATGCTACCTCTACCGCCACCTGCGTACCACCTTCGCATTCTCCAAGCACTGGAAAGCGTTTGACCCGTTCCGTGGGCAGAAGGAGCGCGCGTTTAAGGAGATGGGAAAGGGGGTTTATGATCTTGCTGAGATGATGCACAAACTGGATACGGAGAAGGAGGACCTTGACATCAATGAGCAGGCATTGGAGGTGCTGTTTAGCGATATGATTCAGATGTGCCTATGGGGAAATACGGTGGTGCGTGTGAGGTATTCAACGGCAAACCGAGCTCACGGGTCTGCAGGACCTTTCCTTGCTAACGTCTCTGGATGTGGACCATTTGGCACAGTTACAACAAGTAGGCGCAGCTGCGAACTCTGCACGATCCGATCTTATTCTGCGGAATGATACCGACGCACTGTGGACACATGTACGACAGATCAAGAACGCCAGATTGGATATTGTGTTAGATAATTCTGGGCTCGAGGTGCGTTGCCGGTATAATTGTATTGAATTAGAGTTCACGAGAGGTGTAGCTCTTTACAGATATGGTCCTCGCGGACTTCTTGGTGACCCACACACCCTTCTTCTCCGAAGTCGTCTTCCAGTGGGTAACTCTTTGGTCTCTTCGACAATGTTATACTCACCCTTGCCTACAGTCCCAAGACCATCCCGTGGTTCGTGTCCGACGTGATGCCCGCTGATTTCTTCTCTCTCCTCTCGGCGATGACGACGCCCCACTACTTCGGCCAGGCCCCTTCTCCCTCCCATGAGCAATACGTTACCTCCCTCGCCACCCGTTGGCAGTCATACGTCGACTGCGGAGTCTTTCGGCTTTCCTCCCCACCGGGGCAAGCAGAGGGCGAGCATATGGGTGAAGTCGTACAGGAGAATGGAGTGGACTGGTGGGTAGGGCCGGGAGTGTATGGGTTGATGGATGAGAATGAGGACGGGATCAGGGCGCTCGAGGCGCTCAGAGGGAGTGGGCTGGTAGTGTTCAAAGGTGACCTCAAGTACGTCACGCATGAGTTCTCCTGAATAGTGTATTCTAACGATCCTGTCCAGTTTCCGCAAACTCACAGCGGACGTCCGCTGGCCCCCACACACCCAGTTCGACCAAGCTATTGGTACCCTCGCAGGCCGATTCCCTCTCCTCGCACTGCGAACAAACAAGGCGGATGTCATCGTTGGTCTGAGAGAAGGCTTTGCGCAGGAGCTAGACCAGAAGGATAAGGACTGGAGGTGGAGCGGGAAATATGGCTTGATCTGTTTTTGCCCCGGAGGCACGGTCGCACATTGATGTCGCTGTCTCTTGGTAGCCGGATGCATACGAATGGCCCAATCAAGTGATGTATGGATAGAAAGACAGGCAGCGCCTGTGTCACCGGTTATGTACATTCGAAACATTCGATATTCAATGTAGCCACATAATGATACATGGAGCGTCCGGCTGACCTGCAAGTCTCGCATGGTCTTGCTATACATATCTCTTCTTTCAATGTCAAATCCGCCAGACCGAACGCATATCAAGAACGAAAATGAGCCTCCACAAAGACAGGAGAGAACGAACAGAACGAAAAGAGAAATGAAACTGCCGGCTGCCAGAGTCGGGCTCACGCGTACGCTGCACAAGCGCGATTACCGCACCACTGTTTTACGCGTCAGTTCTACTTCTGTTCCGAGGATAGATTCACATACAGCGTTCGCGTTCGGAGGACCACGGGCGTCAACTTCTGCCTCAGCGACAGGTTGCGGCTCAGCCAGGGGCGCGGCGATGGCGAGGACGGCGAAGAGGAGGAACGATAGTGTGAATGTGCGCATTTTGTTTTCTGGGGCTGCGAGTTGATTGCGGGCAGATGCGAATGAAGACTTGGGGTGTGTTTGGGCTGAAGCGTGTGTTGCTTGGCTGGGAGCGGGGCTGCTTGTGTCGCAAAACAGGCAGATAGTCTGGCTATTTATGCGGTGGCTACATGCCTCAGGACATGTGCCATCTCTCCATGCTCCGGTCAGAAACTAGATTCAACGATTTTCTGCCCAGTCGGCTTCGTGCAGCGGCAGGATATGCCAGGAAAGGAAACATGTCTGAGAACCAGCCACCGAGGTCCAGGAGCATTGGAATGCTGCCTGATCATGGGCTGGTGTGGGGAGATCCAGAGGCAGGGTATCATAGTGGACCACAAGAGGCAAGGGCAGATGCACCAGTGACCAAGGACAGCTCAGAAACCATTATTGATGCACCATTGAGATATGCGCAATGTACGGAGGCTTTTCTGGAATGTTGAGCAAGGTTCTACATTGTGACAATGCGCATCGGTGGACAACGACCGGCTGAGAGCACTGATACGATGGCAGCTAGTGCCCTGAGACCCTCTGACCCGCAGATCCTAATGATTTCTTAACAGATTTGAATGTGGTTGCTAAGCAAGCTAAGGGTACTTGAGGGAATCAGGGAGAGCATTAATGACCACGGAGGAGCTAGAGAAACTCCGGACCAATAACGGATGCAATTACTCCCGCGCCGGACGGGGTCAAATGCCCTTCAGGCGACAAGATTCAGTCGACTCTCATCGCGGCTCCTATCATCATCAATGAAGTATGACAGCCACCGTTCTGTGGTGTCTGCTTTGCAATCCTTGTACCATTGAATCTGGTCAGGCACGACATCCGCGACAGTGTAATTAGGGTGCTTTCTGAGTGCCCTTCCCGTCATACCTTGTCCTTAACTCGACTCGGCTCAGGAACCTCCATACACGGCGCAAGCAATCTGAATGGACTCGTTGTAGACTTCAGGCACACATGTGCCCTAAGACCGCTTGAAGCTGATCCAGCTGAGTCACTAGTTCTGCGTGGAAGATGTTTTGGGCGTAGGCTTGAAGCTGTCCCACAATTCGGCCAAACGAATCAATTTTGACCGGGGGGTTCTCGCAGGGACACTGCTGTTGGCTCCTCTGTAGTCCTAGGCTTGCTAGGTACTTCGTAGGCTGCTGCACGGGGAGGCAAAGGCATAGCTCAACTGAACGAAGGTCACCCAGTCAAACCCTCCTGGTCATACTCCCGCATTCTCCACGTCAAGTCTTACATTGAGAAGATCACAACATGCGAGCTTAGGACCACATCTAATATTGAAACGACATCCGGAATACGTGATACAGGACTAGGAGGAAAGGCGTTCCACATCAACTTGGGGCGAAGTCAAACAGAGGATGATCGGGGTGATTCTTCCACGAAATAAAGGTGAGACGCCATCAGATGCAAAATGCCTGCTCCTTTGTATGTAACAAGGTAGGTGTGCCGAGCAAGCGTCTTCAGTACTTCAACCTTTGCAGGCTGTTGCTCGTGACGCTGCACCGAGTTATCCTCATAGGCGCATTGATTGTGGAAGAATCGAAAGAAAAACTGTTCAAGCATCACGACGCGTCTCTTATACGACGGGCGCAGAACGGGAGGTCTGTGCGCTCGTGTGCCACGGAGGCAAAATATTTGGCGCGTGTAACGTGTTCGGTGTATTTCCCCCCTTCCACGTCGTCAAAGGCGCGGACGCCACGTCTCTCAGAAGCAAAAAAGCGGTGACAAGGCCCTGCGTATTAAACAAGTCGACACAACCAACGTCCACCTCCTGCACTTTCTCCTCTTACGATCTCTTTCTCCCCCTGTTAGTATCGTCGTTCATCTGTGAGCGAACTACACACACACTCAGCAAAAATGGCCGTTCGGAGACCCGCTCGCTCTCCGCGAACAACGCGCTCGGTCGCGTCCTACTTCACTCTCATTGCGCTGGTCGTTCTCGCCATCCTGTTCTTTTGCCCCCCTTCGGCCGCAGCGCAGGATGATGACAAGAACTACGGCACTGTCATCGGCATTGGTATGCTGTCTTCTGTCTGCTACTGAGGTGCATATACCTAACATTTGGCTTGCAGATCTCGGTACAACCTACTCTTGTGTCGGTGTTCAGCGGGGAGGTCGTGTAGAAATCATTGCCAACGATCAGGGTCACCGTATAACGCCTTCGTGGGTCAGCTTTAGTGACGAGGAGCGACTGTGAGTCATCCGAATACAATGCTTACCTGAACCGGGCCCTAATAATCCGTAGTGTCGGTGATGCCGCTAAGAATGCATTCCACACCAACCCCAAGAACACCGTTTTCGACGCAAAGCGGTTAATTGGCCGTAGATTTGATGATCCCGAGGTTCAGAAGGATATGAAGCACTGGTAAATTCACAGATTTGGCAATTAAACCAGAGTCCAACTGACGCATAAACAGGCCATTCGATATTACGAACAAGGGTGGAAAGCCTGTCATTCAGGTCCAACATAAGACCGAGCTGCGCGAGTTCACTCCCGAGGAAATCTCTGCTATGGTCTTGGGCAAGATGAAGGAGACTGCTGAGGCTTACCTCGGCAAGAAGGTCACCCATGCCGTTGTTACGGTTCCCGCATACTTCAACGATGCTCAGCGACAGGCTACCAAGGATGCCGGCACGATCGCTGGTTTGACCGTCCTCCGTATCGTCAACGAGCCGACTGCGGCCGCCATCGCCTACGGGCTTGACAAGAGGGGCGGCGAACGTCAGATCATCGTCTACGATCTCGGTGGAGGCACCTTCGATGTTTCCCTGCTCTCTATTGATGAGGGTGTGTTCGAGGTGCTGGCTACTGCTGGTGACACCCATCTTGGTGGTGAGGACTTCGACAACAGGATTATCGAGCATTTCGTCAAGTTGCACAAGAAGAACACTGGGCGCGACGTCACCCAGAACCTGCGTGCCATGGGCAAGATGAAACGTGAGGTCGAGAAGGCCAAGCGTACTCTGTCCAACCAAATGTCAACTAAAATTGAAATCGAATCGTTCGACGAAGGCGAGGACTTCTCCGAGACTCTCACCCGTGCCAAGTTCGAGGAACTCAACATGGACCTCTTCAGGAAGACGATGAAGCCCGTCGAGCAGGTGCTCAAGGATGCCAACGTCAAGAAGGAGGATATCGATGATGTTGTCCTTGTCGGTGGTTCCACCCGTATTCCCAAGGTCCAGCAGCTCCTGAAGGAGTACTTCGGTGGTAGAGAGCCGTCCAAGGGAATCAACCCCGATGAAGCCGTTGCCTACGGTGCCGCCATTCAAGGTGGTATCCTTTCCGGCGAGGAGGGTACTGAGGACATCGTCCTGATCGATGTCTGCCCGTTGACCCTCGGTATCGAGACCACTGGCGGTGTTTTCACCAAGCTCATCCCTCGCAACACCGTCGTCCCGACCAAGAAGAGCCAGATATTCTCGACTGCTGCCGATGGCCAGACCACTGTTCTTATCCAGGTCTACGAAGGTGAGCGTGCCATGACAAAGGACAACAACCTCCTTGGCAAGTTCGAACTTTCCGGTATTCCCACCGCTCCCCGTGGTGTTCCACAGATCGAAGTCACATTCGAGATCGACGCCAACGGTATCCTCAAGGTTGCTGCTGCCGACAAGGGCACTGGCAAGAGCGAGTCCATCACCATTACTAACGAGAAGGGTCGCCTCAGCCAAGAGGAGATCGACCGCATGATCCGCGAGGCGGAGGACTTCGCCTCTGAGGATGAGACCCTCAGGAAGCGTGTTGATGCGCTCAACCAGCTCCAGAACACTGTACGTTTTCCTCACAATTATGCACCATGAACAAAAGCTCATGTGTTGCAGGTTTGGAGCATGCAGTCTCAACTCGGTGACCAGGAGGGTCTTGGTGGCAAACTCAACGACGCCGATACGAAGACGATGACCGCTGCCTTGAGGGATGCGACACAGTGGCTGGAGGAGAACTCGAGTTCGGCGACAATCGACGAGCTCGAGGAAAAGCTGCAGGAGATCCGCTCCGAACTCGACCCGATCGTCGCGAAACTCTACCAGAGCGGCAGTGACGGTGCCCAGGAGCCCTTCTCTTCTCATGATGAGCTCTAAGCAGCGGCAATTTTTGTATCCCCTCGTGTTGGGATACGATGACTTGGAGCGCGGTGGTGGATCACTGGATCTGGCGGAGAGGGATAAGAGTGCGGAAAAAGCTCAGCGTTGAGTTAAATATGTATTTAACAGCATAATTGCCCGACTCTGCCTACCCCGCGCTTTGTAGTCGATAGAAGCAATATTCATCTTCTAGTCTTCAACGGCACAGCACCATTATCATGCGATGCAAGGGGATCAAGGGGCTCACTAAGAGAAGACATGAGGGCACTGAAAATCAGGATGTGTGAGAGAGTGTAGCAGAAGACAGTTGATACTAGTACTGCACTAAATGTTTTGCATTCAATGACAGTTGCAGTTGCATTGGCCTTGACATCGTTACCTCAACTATAATTGCCTTATGTCGATTCTTATGGCACGGTGGACTCTGGACCCCCACGAAGCCCGCCAGATTCGCATTTCGAGTCACGTGGGAGTCCAAACCCTAATTCAAGTCGTTCCCATTTTCGTCAGTCCTCCCTCCTTCGTATTGGGCACGTCCTATCTCCTAAGCTGTCCTACACTTAACTCTTTCTGCATTGGACTTCTCGGTGGGAAATAAGCCTTGGCCGTCCCCTTACTGCACTCTGCACTCAAACGTTTGACTCGCCATGGCATCACCATCGACCGTGAGATCTAGTGTCGCCACCATCAGTCACGCATCCGCACATCTCTCTGCTCCCACTATCTCGGCTCTCGCTGCTCCCCAGATCTCCAGTACGCCTATGAGATCATCGAATAGTGGGTTAGTTACCACGAAGCACACGCATATGACAGTGGACGGCGTCGTCCGCGACGAGTTAGCCCACGCGTTGTATCGCGATTGCTCCCTCGAAGACATCCTGAAATCCATCTTTGGCCTCACCGATGCGCAACTGCGAGGACTCCAGGAGTCAGCGCGGGATCTCGCACAGAAGTTCTTGGCAGATGAGAAGCTCAAACAACTGGAAGAGAAGTATCTCACGCAAGCACTCGAGCCCGATGCATACGTGCCGTTCTGCGACCTGGTTGATGGTATTATCGAGCGCCTGGACGTGGAAGGCGACAATCGATTCTTGGCCATTGGCCAGGACAATATCACACTCGCTCATGGAATGGGAGATCGAAAGCCCGATGTTACTCTTGCCGCAAAGGCGGTGTACGATGCTTTCTTGAAGAAGCAAGCGACTTTCCCTTCCGGCAACGTTGCCCCTCCCCACCCCAGCCTCAAACACAACAGCACGCCGAGCGACGAAGTAGGGCTGATCCTCGAGGCTGTTCACGCCCTGGCCTTTATTGAATGCAAATGGGAAAAAGGGAAAAATCACAGGCGCGGCCGTAAAAGTGGAACCGTTTCTAAGCACACGCCTCTCCCTACAGCTACAACCCCTTCTTCGCCCAATTCAAGCCGACCCTCCCCCAGCAGTCTTTCAGATCGATCCAAGCTCCAGCCAACAGCCACGAAGCGTGCAAGAAGTCAGCCAGCAGATGCACCATTACCCCGCAAGCGGAAGAAGTTACCGGATGGGAGTGCCATCACACCCGCTCTACCCATTACGCCCACTAGCCTATCAGGAGGGGCCACCAATGACGATCTTTCCGTTGCCGACGACGACGTTTTTGGAGCCGTTGTCAAGGTCTGCTTCCCTCCAAAGACTAGGAAATCGGAGGTCGAATTTATCACTCTGCTCCGACAGCATGACGACATAATGGACATGGTCCCACAAGTGTTCGCCCACAGTACTATTGAAATGCCCGATTTCCTTGAACTTGTTCGCCGCTCCAAGTCCAAACCCAAGGTCGAACCTGACGTGCGCGAGATGAGAGTGTTCGTCATGAAGCGATACCATACACTTTCTGAGGTTACCTCCGCGGACGATCTGTTATCTATTATCAAAGACATCGGGCGTTGTGAGTCCCATGCTGCACCTCGCTCATTGAACTGAGATACTGACGTGAGATCATCAGGTCACACCCATTCTTTCAATAAGGCCCACTTCTTGCATCAGGATATAACCTTCAACAACATTGGTTGGTATCGGGATGAAGAGAAAAGAGCGAGAGGCGTGCTGCTTGATTGGGATTTAGCCGCTGAAGTGAACGAAGCTGGGGAGCCAATGGGAGCCACTGCCCGGCACCGAACAGGAACACCGGCATATATGTCTGTTCGACTACTTCAATCTCATGACAGCAACCACGAACCGATCGACGACAAAGAATCGCTGTTCTGGGTCCTCGTAAGCGCAATGACAAGAAAGCACTTCCATGGATCAGATTTTTTCAAGGAGTTTCGGCGTGGTGGTCAAGACATGTGGGCGCAAATTGCCAGACAGAAGAAAGCCTTCCTCGAGGATCTGATGCAGTCCGAGGGTAGCCAGTGGCCGCAACACGTGCACGAGAACTTCCGAGTGCTGCTGCCAACTATTAATCGCTGGGCTATTGACCTCGAGCAGCTTTCCCTGTTGTCGCGCATGGCCAGGCTGCCTGATGACCCATTCTGGAGTGTCGTGGGGGTCCCAGAAAAGCTCTCACAGGCAAAATCAATGTTGAATGGACTGGAGGCTTTGTTCGGAATCAGCGATCATATTACTGTTAGTGCGTATCTTATTGTAGATTTCATGTTGAAGTTGTGTTCGGCCCGCATCCTTACATTAATACATGTTGCATTCCCACAGCATAGTGAAAGGGTCCACTCGTTCTGATCTTTGCCGCCCGGGCTGTGTCGTCTCAATGGACGATGTGGTCACCAAGCTGACGAGAAGTGTATTCAACATACTCGCAGGTGCCCAAGGCTATCGAGAGCACGTCTTTCGCCATCAGCATCATTGCCCGAACCACTTTCCCTAACTTCGAAATCGTTACATAGCATCACCTCTTTTCGATCACGATGTTGTTCAACACTTACACGACTGTCGCCTTAATCGCTATTACCACTGTTGGCAGTGCCATGTCTCTTGGGAACCCTAGCCTCGATGGGCTTGAGGGTCGCTCGTTCGACGAAGAGGAGCATAGGATCGAGAGGCGCATAAAGCGCGAGAAGCCATGCAATCCGAAGTATCAGAACTGCGGAGACAAGGTCGGACACGTGAAGAGACCGAAAGACTGGGTGATCGAGTGCTCTCTCGATGACGAGGACTATGAGCTCGAGAAGCCTTGCAATCCGAAGTATTAGAACTGTGGGGACAAGATCGAACACGTAAAGAAACCGAAAGACTGGGTGATCCAGCGCTCTCATGATGACATGACCGACCTCGAACTTGACCTCGACTGAGACTCTTGGATGGGCATGCAGACGGACAACAGAAATACACAGTTATGTCTCGTGTGTTAGAGTATCTGTCTTCGTTCGTACTCAGCAGCTCAGGGCAATGAAAGAGAATTTGGAATTATTCAGTTCGCATGAGCTCCACCATATCCTTATATTGAGTGAACATCCGTGTCTTTTCGAGGGGAGTACCGATCCGAACATGGTTTATCGTCCACAGAGTCTCCGCGCCAGTGTAAAGTGTCTCGGAGCTACACTTGTTGTTGAAAGTGATATGTCCACAGATACAGGCGATGTTAATTCTGAAATTTCTTCTAGAGAAGCAGTCAAAACATGCCAGCGCAATCGTGGCGTGAGGTGTTGTCGAGGAGAAAATTAGGGGCTGAACATAAGTTTTGGGCGCACCAGATTGACCAATCCCCTGCCACGGCGGAGCTTATTTGTTTCCGCCGATGTGCCGCTCAGGGAGAATAGTTCCGTACGGAGGCAGAATTGACTGCCGTCCCTTTGTCTGTTGATTGCACTGTCCATCCTGCTGCCTGCTCATCTCTCCTCCTCGACCTCTGCTGCTGCTCTACTACATCTATCTCTGCAGATTCTTCCCACCCACCCAATTCGTCAATCCTCGTCATTACGCCCAACTGTCGCTGTCTTTACTGTCTGTCATTCTGTTGTTGAAGAGAGTTACACAACCGCAAAGAAAAAACAACTGTTCAGCCTCTTCTTAGCAACTGTCGACGACCTCTGGCCTACATACCCCTCTACAATCACAATGCGGCCATCATGCTCCCTTCCCCTTATTCCATTCGTTCTGTTCCCCCTTACGCTTGCGCAGAACATTCCCAGTACGCTCTTTTCGCAGGCTTTGCGAATGACTTTGCTCACCTCATTTCAGCATACTTCCTCATCACCTCCCCAACCAAGGGCTCAGTGTGGACTAATAACGCGACGAACCTAGTACAGTGGACAGCAGCTGTTGACGAGTTGCCGAATGGAATTTTCGACGTGGAGCTTGCGCGGTTATCTACGGATGGGTTATTGTTCGTCGCCCGTAACGGTGCGTGCTCTCACCCCTCGTTACCCTCAAACTAATGCTGGTTTTACAGTGCCTATCGTTCTGAACGGTCTGAACATCGAGCTCGATGATGTACCTAACGGAGACGATTACTTCCTCATGTTCGTGGACGCTCGACCTGGCATCTCTTGGTCGACGTCTCAACGCTTCTCAATCCAGAACTCGAACGGCACGACCCCTGTGACAGACCCGACCAAGCCTACAGCTACGATTGCGGGGGGGCCGAATCCCACCTCCGGATGGGGCACTACTTTCGCTGCCGCGACGAATGATGCCCGGAGAATGCTCACAACCACGTTTGCAGGGCTTACCCCCGGTTGGGTCGGACTCGGCGTCGCAGGTTTGAGTGTGCTCGTCGCTACTGAGCTGGTATCATAGACCCTCGAGCTCGGGGTGCTTGTGACAGCACATATAGGCTATGTTTGTGTATTTCACGTCGGATGTGGATGTAGCAAGGACAGTGCACGCTACGGACTAGTCTTCTTACCTATGCTCTCTCTTTTGTGATACTCGCGTCGATCTCAAGCATCACCGTTCGTGTTCTGTCCAGTTTAGTCTTTAATATCACTCACGCGCCAGAGCGGCCGCCCACTCAAGTTCGCCTCGTTTTCACATTGCCACGGAAATAGCTGACTGATATGACAAGCATATATGCACGAAGCTTCCAGACGATGGGTATATATATGAACATCCCACAGGTTAGAGCATGTCGATCAGGGAGATATATTTCACATTAGCGATACGGCAGAACAAACAGCCCAATTTTGTGCTAAGTTTATGCATCTCGCTTCCCGACTCGGGGGGATCCCAGAAGGAAGGATGCGACGGTCGAGGCGAGGAAGGTTGGCGTCGACTCACCGCAGCTTAGAAAAAAGCTTCGGGGCGGAGCAATTGTCGACGCAGTGCATCAGGCTGTATTCGATATTAGTTTGAATCGGACAAGTACAAAAAGGGAACGTACTGGACTGTGGAACATATAGGTAAAGGAAAGTGCGTAGATTGATGAGTTCCTAGACAAGAAAGCAAACGAAAAGAGACGTACATCTGGGAATCCGGTCAGCAGAGTCGGACATATCAGAGGGAGGATACTCACAATTCCTCAACGCAGTCCTCGTGCGGCCTGGCGGAGCCCTCGTTGACCTTCTTCTCGCAGTGCTCAAACTCGCGTTTGGCCGGCAGACAGTGCTTAGTATTTGCGCACTCCTCACGGATAGCAGGCATAGGCTGCATTGCGTCATGAGCAAATTGACAGGGAAATAATGTGCCGGTGGCAAGACGAACATCCTCCGGCTCTTCCTCTTCGGCCTCTTCTTCCTCAGCGGCCTCCTCTACTTCACCACCTGCCTCAGCGGTTTCCTCCTCCTTGTGCTCCTCGGCAGCGGCCGGTTCAGGCGCCTCCTGCGCCTCGTTGTACGCCGTGTTGACGAAGGACGACAGTAAGGAGAGAATTGTCATCTTAGTCGTCGTTTCTTGTGCTCGTCTAGTGAGATGAGGGGAATTCGTGTGAGGGAGGCGGCGAAGAGGGATACAACGCCGATTCTATGACGGAACAGTTTGGTCAACGGGAAGAGACGGATTGGGTGTTTGCTTCCGCGGAGCCCTGTTCTTCAGGGCAAGGCTGTCACTCAAACATATTCTTGCTGGTCACTACTACAAATTCTGATGATGTTATATGCATCTTACCATGATTTAATGTTCTCTGGCTTACTATCCTATCTTGCTGCTGTCTTCTCTGTGTAAAAATATATTGCATTCTTTGACACATGCTGACCTCAAACTGGTGCACTAGGTTACTCAAAAAGAGCCAAGTAGTATGCAGCCCCCTTCCAGATCCTTTGATCAACTTATCCACAGCATTCTCACCCCCCACCCATTATGCTGTGGCAGCTGACAGTTCCTCTGTTGCATTTGCCATTTTGTGAGAAGAAACTTTTGCCAAGTGTCCAGTTGCATGGGGTCACCATCTAGAAAATCTGAAATGTGTTGCTGCTGCACCTTCAAACATTGCCTGTTTCTTTGTCAAATGTTGGCAATATGGATGTATTTGCACTATGATGGAAACAAGGAAGTGGGAATGAAGCAGGCTGGGTCAGACTGTGGACTGACTTGGATAGGTGGAAGAGAACTAGGGTCCTCAGTCCTTCCAGTGCCCACACACTGCACTGTGCATTGGCACTGAAGTTAAGTCCCTTCAGGAGTCCCCTGGGTCATGCCAATCATGACCTAGGGCAGTGAATTACCTTGTGTGGAGCTGAAAACTGTATCTATTTTATTAACTTATTTACAAGCCCTGAACCAAACTGTCACAGTACCCACATGTAATTCCTTACCAAAAACAATCAAATGTCATTCTTCACTGAAAATCATACAAGAGCTGGAATGTGGTGCTTGAAGCATGTATAAAGCAGTGGTATCTAGTCCCCATGACAACAAAAGCCAGGCCAAGCAGGCTTGAAATATCTTACAAGAGACTGAAAATCATGTTAATATGTACATGATGCAAATCTACAATCAGGTACTTACTTAATCAGAATCCTCATTGTCAGATCCACTTTCAGCCAAAAGATCTGCAAGCTCCTTGTCACTGTTGACATCATTGTCATTGTCAGGCTGTACTGCAGCTTGCTCCATTGCTTTATTGGACAGAATACTTCTCACTGAAGGCTGAGGGGCTACAGCTGGGCCCAGGGTTCCTGACCCAGGCAGGCAATGTTCATCATAAGCTTTTTTCAAGACCAAGAATTGCTTGGCATTCCTTGTGTATGACTTGACAATGGCCCTAGTGGCCCAATCATTCTCAAACCGTGCCAGGTACAGAATCTTGTGTTGAGCCTACTTCAAGGTAAATACATGTTGTCATTTAGCATGGAGGACAGTACTCACTTCCTTGTATATCTTTGCCATGACCTCTGGGTGGAGTTTGGTGATGGTTTTGTCTCCACAGACATTGTACTTGTTGCTGATCTGTTGGACTTGTTGCTGTAGAAGAGCTTGGGTTAGTAGGTAGCTATAATAGCAGGTAAGAGTAGCTTACCTGAATAGAATTGTACTTGCTCTTGTTCCCAGAGAGCCCCATCTCTTCCTGCAGGCAATATCCACCTGGCCCCTTATGACCAGGTTGCCCCAAGGGCTTAGCAATGACCTTCAGAGGCAGAGGTGCCCTGTGCTTTGCCAGCTTGGCTATGAGTGCCTTTCAAAGTTTCTTCTTATCTGCTTCAATAATGTCAGATATGTATGTATGTGTGCAGTGTTCAAGACATACCTTTCATAGACATAATGATTGCCCCAAGCTCTACAATCCTTGCATTCACCTCAATAAGTTCCTCCTTCTTTGACTTCTTCTTGGAGAGGAACTTCTGCATGTCAAGGCCATTGTCAAGCTGCTTGAGAGGCTGCTTCTTGGTGTGCTTGGGCAGGGGCTCATCTTCTTTGATATCAGATACCGACAGGGCATGCTTCTCAGGCTCTACCAGGGTTTCAACAGGGTCTTCATCAAGGTCATCCTCAGTGGAGAGTGCAAGCACAACAGAGGTGGCATTGCAAAACAGGGTGGGCAGGTTCTCCTTGTTCCCCTTCCCCTTGGTGCCGACTTTCTTCTTTGACAAAGTGTTTGTTGGGAGTGGAACATCCATAATCATGGCATCGGACTCATTGCAGTTGCGCATATGATGCATACCAGCCATCCTTGGAGAGGTGTGGAAGGGGTGGGAGCACAGTGGTGGAAAGCAGCTGTTGAAGAAGTTGAGGAAGAGGGAGTTGCTGGGGGGGGGTGTCAGAGCTCTCAGGTGAGGGGCCCTGTTTGAGGAAGATGCTGAGGGAAGGGGTGTTGGTGAGGTCTGAGATCCTGGACATAGGATACGGAGAAAGGGACGGGAGGGAGTCAGTCCCATTATATACCCCTCAAGCAGAAAGCTGTGATAGCAAAATCAGTCACAAACACAGATCATGTTACATGCCAAGAGATGGTTACCACAAATGAGGGCAAAAATAAACCCAATATGGAAATTCCAAATTAATGGATCACTGACTTTTTTTGGTCCCAGAGAGTAGGGCCTGTCATTTTGTTTACCTCTCACCATGGTAAAGGCAAAGGCAGAGGTCCATCAGAAACATTGAAAAGGTCCTTGCTCTCCCTGTGGCAAAATGTTGTCCTGCACCCAGAGATGGCAGCATCATCAGTTGGCCAAAGCACTAGCCCTAAAGAAGGTCATCATCACCCGGAAGGAACAATCAAAGGAAGAGATGACTCAACTGGGGCGCCAAATACCACCTGTGGAGGATCTGAAGGATCTATGGAATGAGCTGTTTGGCAGTGAAAGAGAAAGGGTCAGGTCCCAGATGTCTCTGCCAGCAGAAGAACCCAGATTGGGGCAGGAGGAGCCAGAGCTGGAGCCAGAGCCAGAGCTGCAGCAGCAGCAGCAGCAGGAGGAGGAGGAGGAGAAGGAAGAGGAGGAGGAGGAGGAGGAGGAGGAGGAGGAGGAGGAGGAGGAGGAGGAGAAGGAGGAGGAGGAGAAGGAGGAGGAGGAGAAGGAGGAGGAGGAGAGGAGGAGGAGGAGAGGAGGAGGAGGAGAGGAGGAGGAGGAGAGGAGGAGGAGGAG